TTTACTTTTCTTTAAATATTTCTTCCTTACTTCCTTCTCTTCTTAACTTGCCGTTGCAGCCCTATTAATTTATGTTATTTGTTTTTATTTCAATGAAACGAAGTTTAAATAAAAATAAAATTATGATACACTGCATATTCGCGGATGCTTGGCGGACCCATGCGACTTCTTCGATACAAAAAGTCCTCTCGGGAGTCGAGCGGTCAGCTGTGTGCTGCAATATTCCGGGCTACTCGATTGTGAGGAAGCTTGGATCTTTGCGCTGCGCCTTCTTAAGTTCTCATGTCATTTTCGCACGTGTATAGCCTTTTTCTAACATATTTTCATAAGTGTTTAATTGTCCTCATTGAGAGCATAAATAAATCAAAAAGAGGTGTAACTCTAATTCATACAATGTGACTATACATTATATCCCACGTAAAACAAACGTCTAATATCAACAAAACGTTACAAAAGGGACGTTCAAGAGACGCGTAATTGTTTTCAAAATTTAACGCACGAATAATCTCTTTAGCTCCGTTTAAACCCATAATAAGGTAGGGCATTACAAAAGATATGCGCCATGTTCGATAATCCAATGGCTATTCAGAGGTCACAGATGTACGGACTTCAGACAAAAGCTTTACAATAATATCCTCGAACGAGTTGAAACGCAATTCCTGCCTTTCATTATGCCGCTGAGATTTTGGGCTAAGACCCTATCTCGTTGCTAGTAAGGCGATTTTTGCGCGACGAAAAGACGAAGTTTGTTAAGGAGCTATTTGGGTGGTGTTTGATACACGTGTTGGTCTCCCCTCACTAAATGCATGTCACCTGGTAGTTGAGTGGAAGTAAAAATTGGGTCACACGTTGCCACTACTTTCTTTGGTTCGAGTTTTGTCTTGATTTAAATTTCTATTTTTTGTATCTTTGTGGTTGTATTTCGAATAGATTTAATTTGTAACCGTGCTGAAAATCATTTACTAATTGAGCAGTGTAGCCCCGGCTGGGTGCCAATGGGCTTTCTGTCTATGGGCGCATTAAACACTCGCTTGTTCGGTCATGGAAAACATCGCGAGGAAACCGGAAAACCATAGACTCAAAGTCGTCGGCGTGCCAAGCACAGAAGGCTGATCACCAAGATAAAAGAGATCTCGAAACAGATACTTAGGGACTAAGAGAGAGATTGTAGAGCCACAGGTTTTCGAGTAAAACATTAAAAAAAGAACATTATTATTTTCCTTCGATTTGCTTTATACAAGAATGATACCATAGAAAGGGCTACTTTTGGGGCCCTTTTATATTACGGAATGAGAATGTGTCAAGCGTTTGTAAGGTTTCTACTAGGAATCAAACCTTGCAATTTTCTATAGGTACGTATAAAATAACTATTAGTTTTAACTTCACTTGCAATTAAGTTTTATTTGAAATAAATCAGTGGCGCTACAACCTTTTTAGGTCTGGGCTTTAGATTTCTGTATCTGTTTCGTGATCATTTGTCAATCTAATAGCCGAGCAGGCGATCAGACTTCTGTGCCTGACACACGCCATCGACGGGTCTAAGGCAAGCCGGTGTCCTCACGATGTTTTCCTTCTTTGGTAAATTTTTGCTTAACAATAAGCAAAAATTTATTAGTTAAATCTAAAATTGGAAATATTTTTGTTGCACATATTTTTTTTTTTAAATTGGTGCAACGTGAATGAATTGGAATTGGAAGGAATCGTAAACAGAATTTCGTCGTAAGTAAGCTCACATCCGAGTGTTCAATGGAGTCCCAGGAGGTCAAAACTGGTAACCTTATCCGCGAAACTATTAAACGCCTCTACCTTTGTACTCGAACCGGTTGAGCCATTGTGGCGCATACCCCATACATACCACACGTGCGCTTGGGCATAATTATTGAAGTATTCACATGAATGCCCCTTAAAGAAGGGTTTGGTCAAGGATTTCAGATGTTTATAAGGAAAACAGAGGTCTTCATTTTTATTTTATACATATTTCACTTTATTACAAAACCATAAATTAAAAATTTTACTTATCCCAACTTATTAACGCATTAATGGAGCAGTCAGTAGATACCCTGATGTAGGTTATCCCCTCACCATTTTTCTTTCTATTCCATTTAACATTCGTTCAACTAAGGAAAACATCTAAAACCACATGTCTTAACAAAAGTCACCCCGTTTCACACTATATCACCTACTTCCTATAAGATTTAAAAATATCATAAACAGATTCAAAATCTAGGCCCTACCTAAAAAGGTTGTAGTGCCACTGATTTTTTTTGTTAATTGAACGCATTATGTCTTAAAATAAATCTAGTAAATTGTCTGTGGCCAATTCGTTAACGCATCTGGGCGTATAAGGGGTTAGGGTTCCTACCTACTAGACTAAAAGAAATGTGTCATTTGTACGTCGTACATTCTACATAATAGGTTGGGGAAAAAGTCTCTTCGCATTTTTTAAGAAAATTAAAAAAAAAATTAATATAGTTTATTTACATTTAACTAAAGTATGTAGTTACCGTTTTGTTCGGTAGATTTTTGCAATCTTGTAGATAGGGACATGATCCCATTACTATAGAAATTTTGGGGCTTCTTATCAAAATACCACGACAATTGGTTTTGGCAGTCCTCTCGTGATGTTAACAGGACACTGTCTAAAGAATTCTGAAGAGACCGAAACAACTATACGGCAGATGCATTACCTTCCTTATCTTCCAGGCAAGCTCTCTTTTTTCTGAGTAGCTAAAGATGTGATCTTTAAAATTTAAACTTTTAATGATACCAACCCTAGCCAAATACAAATAGTATAACCAAAGAGATTTTATTAGAAGTTCATACATACCATAATGCGAAAAGACTTTTTCCCTAACCTAATATTATACCTATCTTTAAATAACATTTGATGAATAACATGAAAACAAGTGACGTAAGAAAACTGTAATTTTTATGAAGGGGCTGTTCAAGTATTACGTAAGAACTATAGGGGGGAGGAGGGGTCTTTGATTTTCCTATTTGGTGATTACGTCAACAGTAATTAATAATTATTTACTTTTTTACACATATTACCCACGCAATGTCTATACTTGAAAACGAAATGCATTATCGAAGATTCCTACAAAGAATTTAAATGTTTTAGTACTATTATTTTTAGGGATGCGCTTACTTTTGCTGACAAGAGGAAGAGGGGGAGGGGAAGGGGATAAATTGCAAATCTGCTTACGTAATACTTGAATTAAACTTGAATTATATGTATTTGTATCCATTTGTACGAATATTATAAAATTAGTGACAAGGATTCGAAAGGGAATGCTTAGGTCGATTGGATATATAGAATGAGAAGTAGCTTACAAGTAGGATCTACAAGGCAACCGTGGCTGGTGTAGTCGAGTTGGGTAGGCCTTGTCGGCCATACCTGCACCAAACCCAGGAGATACAAGAGAAGGGATAGTTCAAAAGTTCCCATAACTGAAGAGCATGCATGGTGAATGTCATGTAAGTGAAGCGTGAGAGGTATGTCAGGACCTTGGCAAGTGGGAAGCCGTGGTCACTGCCTACCCCTTTGTGAAAAAGCCGTAAATATATTTTAATGTAATAGGAGGTAAACGGGCAAACTCATCTGATGTTAAGTGATACCGCCGCCCATGGAGACTCACATTGTCAGAAGGCTCGCAAGTGCGTTGCCTGCCATTCAAGAATTGGTACGCTCTTTTCTTCAAGGACCCTAAGTGGAATTGCTTCGGAAATACTTAAATAAATTATAAAAATAATAGACAAATAAACTACATAATTCCTAATTAATCCCTAAGAATATGATAGGTATACTTATTTCTAAAATATTTAAATGTCTAGCCGTTATGTTGACAGCTGCGTAACCAAATGCCAAAACAAAAATAACCGAATACCTAAACGTAATACAATCGATCTTTCTACAAGAAATCAACTTGTACAAACACACGTGCATTGATTCCGTTATCAATTTCTTATCAAATTCTTCGAACTCTTAAACCTATCGCCGACTTGTCTGGTCAACTCAACTATTTATAACTAAAACAATATTTGCTCCTTTAACTTGTGTCAATACGTCTTCGCTTTGATATAAGCGAAACGTTTAACAGAAGAAAATTACATAAAACGATAATCTCTATACATACATATATAGATATACAGTGGGGAAAAAAAACACTAAAAAAAGAAAGCATTTTTAAAAATTACAACACCTATTTTACCACAGCATAAAAACTAACATAGACATTAATTGAATTAGACGGATTGATCATTGATCCCAAATTTATAACCTAAGTGCTAAGAACTCTGTTTTACTTTTATAACGTGTTTTCCAGCCAATTATTACGAAATAATTCAAATAATAAGTATTTACTGATTACAATAATCCTTGCAAATTTTGTATTGTGATTGATTGTAACTCATAATATAGATACGATACAATAATCGACATAAGATTTTGATTCCTAATTAACCTAATAGAAATAAAATTATATCTAAGAATAAGGGATAAAATACGTCCTCGTATCGAATACAACCTAAGCCGATTTTAATGAAATATGTTTACTAAATATATCTACTTATTAGGCATATTTGTCTATTCATTCACCAATTGACATTTGCCTCATTCATTTGAGCTTTTACTGCAGCTAGTTTGATAGTTAAAATCAACTGATACTGCTGTGGCGGCTTGGTACGCTCCCGCGCGAAAGTGAAAATTTGCTAGGCACTTTCTCCCCACCCGTCGTCTCGCGTCGCATTGGCCCGCCCCTCGCTGCACCGCCGCTACCCCCCGCCCTGCGTCGGTCCCCTCAAGCCGCAAGGTCAGCCCCGCGTGCAGGCGGGTGGCGCGGCGGCGGGCAACGCGGCGACGCGCTGCGCTCTTGAAATTTCGCTTTCGTTCACTCGCGGTTATTAGTCGGCCGCGCGCGCTCCGGCAAGCATGTGTTTCGTGTGACGCTCCAGTACTCTCGCGGCGCACGTTCGATTTCGTTAGTCGATCGTGGTGCAGCATGGCTCCGCGAAGACAAGGCGCGACCGGTGAACGGGAGACAGAAGAAAGTCACGGGTGCTGCGTACCTAGCGAATGCCTACGCCCCCGGGAATCCGTACGCATTGAAGACGCCGTTCGCGTGCTTTGCAGCAACGACACGTGCCCTGCCGGCCGGCATATGCACAGAGAATGTTTCGATCAATGGGAAGCAGGCGTCCTGGCTTACCTCAAGTCCTGTGGCCGAGCTCGATCGTGGTCTGAGAGGCAAAGGCATCAGAATCTATGGACCAAGAAGGGTTACGACTTGGCATTCAAAGCTTGCGGTTGCCGGTGCGGGCGTGGACACTTGAAGAAAGATCTTGATTGGTCTCCGCCTGGCTCGGCAATACGGGCTGAAGAAGATAAAAAGAAACGAAGGCGTCCAAGATCGAGCCGTACACCAGCTGCTATCGATGTTCGCTCGAGGGCCTTCAGCTTGTCTAGTTCTGGCTCCTGCTCGCCGCCTTCCGCACCTTCGGAACCATCCACGAGCCCTACTCACGCTCCGCCTAACCCGTTGACACCCGCAAAGAGAAATTCTAAACATGAAATCGTATCCGACAGGATCAGGTGAGTGCTTCATCATACTTTTGTTTGTAATTTTAACCATTGTTATGCTCGTCTACAATTACTGCGTTTTTGCATAATTTATACGATGGTTACTTTGTAATAACAATATAAACACCTGTGAATAAACAAATGATGCATAATGTATTTTGTGGCAAACGGATAAAATGACATTGCAAACATGTCGCTACAAGTCTAGCAAGTACTTGCGTTATCTAATTAGAAAACATAACCTATCTACCCGTTATTTCTTGAGTCAGTCGATTAAATATTATGTTATAGCGATCTTACTGAGTTCATAGTCAAATGGCAAACATATTAAATGAACGCCCACGTTCCGTAATAAAGATATTTGTATGTGCCTGATACGGGCAGTTGCCTGTTAATATAGGCGATTTGAATGCATTTCTTACTCGTTGTTTATAGCATATCGGATAGCCGGCCTATGTTATTAGTGCGGAACTGGTTGTAGAGCTGAACTGAGATGAACTCTTAAGAGGCTGCTTATCAGCTTGTAGCTAAAGCGTCCATAATGCAAATTGTCCAGTTATAGACTACCCGATAAATACTTATATACCTACTGCGTGGTCCGCTAAATTTATAACTGAACACTAAATGATCTTAATAGAATAGTATTTTTTTATAGTTTATTAGTATACATTTTATTCCTTGTATACAGTTTAGTGATCACTTAATTCTACTAGTCCCTATCTAACATCATTACGTTTTTCTCTCACCTTTTTAAGATGCAAATAAGACATGCAACGAGAACAAAAAACGTACCAAAAAGATAAAACGTAATGAATAAAATGCATATTCATCACATCAATACATAACCAATACATAATCATTTCTATTTGCTTTGTGATTTTTTGTCTAGTATAATCAAATCTTTGTCTTGTAATTAATGTTCAAATATCTATTGAATTGCTTTACAATTGTATTTCTTTAGTTTTTATAATTTAAAGAAACTGTTTACCTACTCAATATTTTTATTTTTGTGTAAATAATAATTTTTGTATTAGAATTATTTACAGAAACAAGTTATTTTAAAATTAGATTTTATTCTATGAGTTCCATTATTACGCGATGTTATCATGCATTCCAAATTAATAAATTTTACTACTAACAAATAAAAAACGTCTAGTTTAATTAATAGATGTTGTATACCTGCCTATTATTTTATGATTCAACGTAGGTATACCTCCAAAAGTACTTGAAAATTGTGCAATTGTACTCAATGCACAAATTCGCATAACCTTAAAAAAGCAATTTCATCCGTCCCATACATTAACTGCGCTTCGCTGAACTTGGTTTCCGTTTCCCGTTTTAAAAAATGCTTTCCCCAAATTGCACCAGCTGCCCCATGTCCAAATTGATGTGGTTTCTTCGCAAAAACATTATGCGTAATGCACTTTTGGGTTTCACATCGATTTTATTTAACGGTTTTTCATATCGACTTAAATTAATTATAAAATCCTGAAATACAGTTTAGTACAATTAAGTTATCATCTTATTAAAAATTAATAATACCAAGATAATTTGTTAAAATTCTATGCAGACGTAGAGGCACCAAATAGTACATATAAAGTAGCTAGGGGCGACAATTTAAAATCAGTAGAATAAAACTGCTTGTTATCTTTCCCGTGCCATTTAGCGAATGGAATGTAACTCGGATAAAAAAGCGTTTATCACAAGCATGTTGTATTTAAATTGATACAAAAAATGATCCCGCAATCGGGTTATGCTGCAACGTAAACAAGACTGTTAAAACCGGTTCCTTCGAAGCCGATAATCACGACTTGAATGTGTTTTCTACGCACGAACAAAATACGCCCGATGTTCATACATGTCCTGCGTATTCGAAATTTAAATTTCCTTCATTTTACATCATTTACCATAGTTCCACGTCTTATGTATTGTAAAATGTTTTTTTTTTAATTTGTTACTGCACAGACTATACCATAGCCAAAATTGTAAACTGTTTGATCGTACAGATATTTAAGTGTACATAAACAGAAACTGTCAATTTTCTTTATAATCTGTGCGCTTTTAATTTTGTTATTGAGAGCTCAATGGTAGAGGTAGGTGTTAATCTTTATTAAAACGTGGGCGAGTGGCGTCCGATTCTTATTTGTTCGTTAACTTTGACCTATAAAGATATAACCTCGAAGAAATATGCCTCAGGATAAATTAACTTAATTTGAGCCTCGAAATAACAATTGGTGTTCGTTAAAGACATGTGAATTTGCGTTTTGACACTCGTTGTTAATATCTTGTGCAAATTAATAAAATTAGGAACAATTCATATTTGTTACCAGCTGTAGTGTACTAAAACGAGATATTGTACTGTTTACTTAAACTACTACTGTTACTACTACTTACTGTTTACTTTTTTTAAATAAACGATATTGACGGTAAATTGCTGATAGTTGCAACCAAGAATTGAAATCAAATTTGAATTTAATGTACTTTACTTGCTATGAAAATATAATTATTTATTGTATATACCACAAGAACAGAGCATCTTCCCCTTAATAGAGACTGTTAGTAGTGTTATTGGACACTTTCTTATATTAAATATCCTCTTTAGTAAAATAGGTTAGACTTAAATTACTTCTTTTATGTCTACATTATGTCTCAGTGTATTAAAAAAACTTACTATGAAAATGATTAGCCACGTACCGAATGCAAAACTATGATGACGAAATGCCAATAGTTCATGCCATGCAATGCCATGGCAAGTAATCATGGAATTTGATAGAAATCCACAGTCCCCTTAGGATATCCAGATGTTCTAGAGACGGCGCCTCTTGTAACCAAATGCCGTTTATTTTCGCAAGCTTCCTTAAAAATATAAGTTTTTTGAACACTCCACGCTTTTAATACCACCAACATTTGAAAAATTTGTCAAAATAATTCCTTTTTTACTCCAACTTATTCTTTATGATGCAGACTATAGATTTTAATTATGCTTCAATTACATAATACTGCATATAAATGCTATATCCTAATAAGGTATAATAAATACAATAAGCAGCAACGATACGTTGTCTTGCATACAAACTGCCTCATTATATTTGGTCTGGAAACTCAGAGAATATATATGTTACCTTAATTTTAATTGAAAATCAATAAATCACTAAGGAATCTATTGTTGGATTTTTTCTTGTATATTATATAATTTTTAATGATTAACACATTTTTGTATTTTTAAGTCGTTAAGACCACGTTAGTTTTTTGTTTTATTAAGTAGTAATCGTTATGAATGAAGTTTTCAATAAATTATTTAAAATATTTATATTACCATAGTTCGTCTGGTTTTTTATCGATTAAAATAAACGGTTGAAAGGCGCCTGAGACAACTACATTATTGATATCATAATACTGGGCGGAAATCCATTCGAAAGCTTACAGGTAACATGCTATGCGCGTTAAAAGTAGAGGCAAAAATGTGTCATTGCGAATTATAATAAAATCTTTTTTGTGTCACGAACTTCACTACGCTACACTACTTCACGACATTGAATTTAACTGGAGGTAAATATTTAAACTAAAATATCTTGTGTAATGCTAATTGTTATTTGTACAAATCAATATTAGTTTTTAATTATTTGCTTTATTTATTCTTTTATTCTTTCTCTTTATAAATTTCTTATTCAACTTAACTAACTAAAATATATCATTAAAAAGTCCCTTTAGGCGTTCCATCTCTTCCCCCTTTTTCTACTAATTTTTTCCATACTCCAATCTTCTTCCTTATGTCACTAACCTTTTAATTTCTTTAAAAAGCCTTCTACCCCCACCGGTTCCCCATACTCATTTCACCCACCCCTTTTTCCTCTTTATTTTTTCACCCTTCCACCCCCACTCTTATTGTTCCATTAATGGAGGCCACTTCTACATCTCCCTCCTCCCCCTTTCAATCAAACTCTACCTCCTCTCTTCCATCTCTCTCTCCCTTCTCAGAAGACTTGCCTTACTCAAACCTATTCTTTCCTGTCTCACCCTCCTTTTTCTACACCTATGTCCTACTTCACATCACTCCCAACTTTGAACGCCCACCCCCCTAACTTCATTCGACTTCAGCTCAGTTCCTTATTTGACATGGGTAACTACCTCCCCTTCTCCCCCCCCCCACCCTCTCGCCTTCAACTTCTTATCTCCCACTCTTTATTTAAATATGTTTTACCTCTCTCCTTTCTACTTTTCCCCCTCTCTTTAGATCCCTTAATTTTACTTTAATTTCTAACTTACGGATAGAGCTGTCGACACTAAATTTTAATCCCTAAACCACCTCATGTAAACTTCCTTTCTTTCCTGCATATTAAGAAGTATTCTACTAATTTTGATTAAGTCGTCTTTTTAAATTCTGGTATTCCAAAAACCCACCTCGTTTTTGGGAGGAAAAGACAATTTTAAGATCATCATTTGGACTAATTTCAAGACGGTCACAATTTTGAAATTTAGTTTGAAGTATGAATATATCAGAATAGAATCATTAAAAATTGGAGAACCTAAAAGTAAAGGGAATTCCTGTTAACTATTTTATTTTAGCCAAAATTTGAAATTTTTTTTTACATCATTTAAATTTAAGTCCAGTTATTTATGAAAAGTTCCTTTTTATTACTCCACCTTCTTCATTTTTTTTATTAAAAAGGCCAACCTTCCCTCCCTCTGTTCCTCATCCAACTTGAATTATTTATTTTGATTATGGGATTTATACCAAACTAAAATTGCACCCATCCCTTACCCTACTTCCAAGTTCATTAGCGATTACAATTTAGTTGGATCACTAACTAGAAGAAGATAATTGTTATTTCCGGTATATGTTGTTTTATTTCATCACAGGGTATCCCTATTTACCAATTAAATGCATTTTTCCATCATTTTGACACCTCTCTTCCTACTTAGAAGCGTACTACTCCTACACCCTCCTTTCCCCAACCTCTTACAGGTTCATTCTGAATTTAATTTTGGTAAAATATGTCAACACATTTTGACCCT